ACTAAGTGGGACCTGTGCATTACATTTGACCCCACTCGGAACCTGGACTAAGGAACGAAACGAGGCTAAACGTCGTTCATACTAATAACGACGACAGGGGCACGCAAATTCACTCATTTTGGTCAATTTATTTGTAAGGATCGATTTAAATGTATTATTGATTTAATAGTGACATGTAATTTTCTATAAATATAAATTCGAAATTGTGCCTCTACTGCCACATTAACTCGACATACGACAATCACCGTGGACATTTGTCTTGAATAATAATGAGAATACTAATAACTGGCTAATAATAGTAGCAGATTTGTTACCGTCATTCATGGGGTCTGCCATTGTTGCTCGTGGCATTTTTCTACGATTGCATTTCATCAATGGCGCAGTTCAGGAGCTAGCAATTCGATTGTGTTCGTTCAGAAATGTATGTTTTTTTTTGGAATTGCATCGAAGCACGGGACGGGCCAGTATTTAGAATAAATCATAGACATAATAGCCGCTCGATGCAATACTAAATGAAGTACGAAGATTCTAGGGTATTATATCCGATGAATTTCATACAGAAGGTCATAATTAGCACGCTGTTAGCTGTCATTGTTATGGCCTCCACACATTAGATCTACATTTTGAGCTTTTTGTTTGCTCTCAGCCGACTTTAATCACGATACGTCACAGTGCGTGATTGTATATATATAGTCTCATGTTGGACGCTCGTGTTGACGGCGTACTTTTTGCGCGTTGCCTATGGAGGTGTAGCGTTAACTCGTCTAGCGTCAGCGACATCAGCGTAATGAAACGAAAAGTCGTTATCAGCGTCGTATGCAAATTTCGATGAAGATCGAAGTGCATGGCCGGACAACTAGAGAGAAACGAGCTGACTTTCAATGGTCAAGCGACTAGGAAAAAATAATGCCTTGTTGATGGCCGTCTGCATCTAGTCGGCGGGCGGCAGCGGCAGCGGCAGCGGCAGCGGAGGACAGATAGAGGCTGGTCAATTTCAAAGAGTACGTGGAGGGGGTTGGCTTAGTAGATATATCGCATACGGAGTCAGTCCGTCATTACGGACCAACGACAGAACATCGTTCGGTAGGGCGGCAGCTGCTCTTGCAGATACTCCATCTGCCATCGCTATCACTCTCGTGTGGATTGTTAATCGCCGCTATTTGTCTTTGCGCCCTGCGGGTACTGCTGTTACAACCTTGACTATGGAATGGAAGAGCGCGCAGATGACCTTGGTTCAACGACGCATCTGGTGCTTGCGACTACCACTAGAGGCGTCATGATCGTTGTAGGGAATGTTACTAAATATACAGTAATTGAACAGTGAACACGAAGCGCCACCTATTCTGCTCGCGTAGTTACGACTTCATAGTAGCTGCCACCAACGAGTATTGTTGTTGCCGTCTGCTATTGATTGTCCGATCCGTAATTAACCGCACGGGATCGAAGCAGAATCTGCTAAAGAACAAGCAAGATATCAATTAGACACTAATAGCGGTGATAGCGACATTAGTGACGTTGACAAAAGCGGAGTTCGCTGCACACAGACTGAAGAGCACGAAAAATGTAATTGTAATAATGACTGCGTGCAGTGACGATGCATAAGGTTCTTTAATATCGCCCCTATGTTCATTATCTCTGCCTGTTCTGCAAGTCTAGCGCCACACACTGCTCCATAGTTTACCTGCGATTGCACAAAATGCGCAAAGCCACTCACTGATCTCAACTTATCACAGCATGGCAACACTGAGTTGTCGGAATCAGAGCTTTGGGGTAATAAGCTTCGTACGAATATGTGCAGAAGTGGCTCGCTTATGCACTTATTTCAGTAGTAAACAGTGTTAGCAGTATTGAATTGCTTCTTCTCTTTACTCAGCAGTAATGTACCCTCGCAAAGTTAGAGGTCGAAAGGCGAAATATGGTTCCTGCTGATGCTGGGCGATGATCGCAGCGGTACCTTGGAGCACGTCGTCATGCACTCGCATAGGGCCATCTTTTAACATCACGAAAATCCAGTGTGACGCTTATAATATCGGCAACAATGTAACACGGATAGTTTTTTTAGCCTAGCAGTTACTTGTGAATTGTATATGCATATATGACTCTGGCCCAAGCGTGCAAATCGCTGAAGTAAAAAGACTCAGCCATCGATAGCAAGGTAAATGGCAGCTGAAAGGATATCTTAGCTCATGACTTCATAGCGCAATTATGGTTTATCGGAAGCGGGGGGTCTCATTTGATGTCTGTTACCTTAATAGCTACCTCAGGGTTGCTGGAAACCTACTTGAGCAATTAAGATCGAATCGTTTTAGATGACTCCAGGATCGATATACTGTCAGGACTGCTGACCAGTAAACAAACATAATGTAATAATGTTAAATTAACACAAAGGGACCCGTTCCCACCACCTTACGTCTGCTTGTGAACGGCGAAAAGACCTCACTACGGGGCGAAATCACCCGAGTCACGTTAGTCATCAGAGTAGTCCAATATATTCCACTTTCCAGAGGAAACGGTCAGTCGCCATTGTAAAATTCTAGATCTGACTTTTTTCAATGTCAGATCGACAATTTGTGTCTTTAAAGGTATTCCAATATAAGTAGAAATCTATATTGGAGATGATTCAACCTCGGGGCAATACGATTGGCATCATTCTATGGCATGAAATAGATGACAAAAGTTCGATGGGGCCGCCAGGATGATAGGAAGCAAATCAATACGCTTACCGTAGTCGAACGTCATTCTGTCATGCATTTGGTCATATTTAAATGCGAGAAGCGCTTTGTATCTGAAAAATGAGCCTTCGACAAGACCAAGTGCGCCCCGATAGAGAGCGCTCATTGAATAGCAATGTCCGCTCGGACACTGTTGCGGTTAAGGCTTCGAGCCTTTCCAGTGCAACCTTTATCTTGCACCTACGGTCAACGGTCCTGGCTATAACTTACATGTCTCACCACCAATCTGCAATCTTATGCTGGTCAGTATTATGTGAAATGACGCTGCGTAGGTACCAAGTCAAATGCCCGCATGGTGCAACGTTTAATCTAGGATGCGATTGTCTATTTTTTTTTTTTTATTTACTAACGAATAGCCTTCCTAGATCAATGATAAGCTAACATTTTCACGTGTCCAGGAAGCTTGTAAAGTGTGTGAAAATATATACAACAGCTACATGCTATTCAACTACTAAATTTAAATCAGCCGATTTGGTTGTTGTTGACGTCGGCGTACCGGTCAAATTAAGCATCGTCGCGTTCAGCCGTAAAACAGAGAAAATTGCTAACCTAAAAATGGTTTTCAAAAAAATTGTTTCAACGCAAGAATAGGTTTAAAAAAATAAAGTCTTATACCGGACAAGTGCGTGCCCTCAAGCGCATTGACTGCGTTATTAGTAATATAGTATAGATACAACATAAGCTGGCACTTTCCCTTCAGTCGACTCGTTACTTCAATATGGCATACTGGTGACATCATTTTTGTGATAATGATTTATGCTTACGCTGATCGTTTGCTGTCATCTTGTTTAGCAATAGGATTCTTGAAGAAGCCCTCTGATGCTCTTCAAAATGTTTTGATTCAATTGGAGAAATATTTGAACGATGGTATCAGGGAATGAATGTGTTTTTGACGGTATAATTTCAGCTGCTTTTTTGCTTCGTTGGCTATTGTCCCTATCGTTCACTCTGCACCATTGATATTGAACTATGCATAATGGTAATAATTCATATTTTTGGCATTAAGCCTCGATCGTCCATTTAACTGGGCAGTCCCTCACGTTCGCAGCAGCTGCCGGCGCTGCTGCTCGTGCAGCCGTCTCCACGCCCGCTGCCGGCTCTGCCGTTACAGTCATCGCCCAGATGCAGCCGTGAAGCTAAGGTTCCAAGTCAGCGTGCTGCGTCTATCATAATACGGAACCCACATGATACAATCGATTAACGCAAACTATTGTATATACTCATATCGTCTATGTCATTGTAACGACGATAACACAACAAACAACACCTGTCATCATTTTTATTCTTAAGTAATTCGATTTTAGTCATCTTTGCCCACCGGCAAACCTACTCACTTACTCGGATATAGATCACGGCCATTGACCATGACCTTCAGCCGTTCGTCATTGCGTACAAAATGGAATACCCCACCCATCTTTCTAATTCAACGTACATATACAAAAATATAACTTATAAATTAAAATATAACCCCGAGATAATTGGCAAAACAGCCGGCAATGCATCTGTCTTTTCCAACTGTGATTACGTAACTGCTACTACCGGTGACGGCAAGCCTGCACCTGTTACGTTGGCGCATTTTCGCTAACCACTTTAATTATGTTCACACTTCGTAAAGCTAACAGGAAACGTACTGTCGAATAGAGTCACCAATAGCTGTTCATATGAATCGTCGTTCTTTGTTACCGGAAAAAACGCATAACCTGTCGCTGCTGCAAGCAGGTAAGACGTGTACACGTTCTCGACAAAATCCATCAAATTGAATCGCGGCGCTGTCAACAGGTTCGAGGTTACCACGTTACCACATCATCACTGTACTATAGCTCATGCAGCTGGATGTGCTATACTGCAGGAGCTTTTAAAGGGGTGCGCAAACTCTTCCCATTGTGATGACTATTGATGGGTCGATATAATCTATTTGGCATCATTTAGTGGACATTGACTCAAGAAAAATAGATGGGGCAACCTGCGTCAGGAACCCCGACCTTGAAATCAGATCTGATTGCGGCTTTTTCGTAAAAAATCGAGCCCGCCTATCATTGAGTGATGTTTTTTGAGCATAGTCGAATTTTTTGGCTACTATTAGAAAGCCCATTTTAGGAACTTCGAAGGGCTTCTCTTTATCATTTCATTTAGCCTATTGTCTTAGGGGTACTGTTCCGATGATCGCAACTTAACCTGTATGGAACAGAGACTTTCTAGGAAGATTCAAGCTAGAGGGATTCTTGAATAGTTTCCCAAATCGTAATTATGTTCCTCCATATTTTTCAGAAGTCCAACGCATATGTGCGGCCAGGCAGCCTGGACAGTGCGGGTTTTCCCTCGACGGGACAATTTGGAAAAAAGGAAATTTTTTTTCTCAATTTAGAAGACGGATATTTCGGATGTCAGGTATGTAGTTTCGTATAAGTATTTTTCCTATAATTAGTAGTAGTACGTATAATTAACAAATAAGCATTCCACTCATGGCAGAGTCTGTTCACGTTCTACAATGGCTTACACTCAAGCTTCGGATCATCCTTCCTTCTCAGCCAAATCGCCAATCAAGTGTTTGCTTTATTTTTTCGTAGTATATATAAAATGGGCTCTATTTATTTACAGACCATTTCGTCTGTTTCCCAACGCGCCTTAGGTTGTGTGTGGCCTTGTGTAATAATAAGTACCTCGTTCGTTTATGCGTTCGTTCTAGTAGTAATTAGTAGGCAGATTGTTGAGATCGTAGACACTTATGCTTCCTTGAGTAATGCTAGCAACTATAATAGCAGACAAAAGAATCCCGCTAAGTAAATTCTTGCAAGGTGCGTACGCCACAACAGCTTGCAAGATCATTGGGAATCGATTATACATATATAACGTATAATTGATTGATATATATTTTTTTTAACTATTTACTACTTTAGTTGCACGATGTATAATTTGTACTGAATATAATTATCTATAAACGTGCAATACTACTATTACGATTCATTAAGTTTCTTATTAACATATCATAAGAATGTTGTGGTGTTTTCACAGCCGTCTTTTTAGCTGCGCTTGCCTTACCGACCTGTCATGTTGTCGACAAAATACACCTAAATCCACCATCTCGAATGCGGGTTAAGTTTAAAATCAGCGTCAGGCTTCCTTCTAATATTGGTGTGTCCTTTTCACCTCCGCAGGTGAACGCCTCGACCGAAGTTCTACAATTATTTGATTTGAGTAAACTTTGTGACGGTGAATCACAATGCTTCCAGGGCTCCGACGAAAACTCCATCAAGCTCAAATGCCAAGACCGCAGTAAGTACCCAGCCATTAAAAAACAATATAGTAAAAAGTAAAGAAAAAAACGTCGGAAGCTAATGTCGAATTCGACGAGTGATGAAAATGTTTTCATTTTCATTAGACTTTTGATCTGTAATAGTCACTCATTACTCAGCTACAATACTAACTATCAGACGCATACCTACAGTGCGTATGTTTCGTAGGCAGTCCATTCAGCAATGAATGAAGAAAAAAACCTAAGGAATATTCACATCGACAACAACGGTTACTTTTAGAAAACCTTAGATATTAAGAGTTGTGTGTTGAACAGGCATACTCTGTATGCTATACCGAGGGAACACTATAGGATCCCGAACTAGCTTCACACAACAACATGGTTTAGATTTGCCGCTGTCACAGCTTCGTTCTGTAAGATTTTTGTTCCTTTATTTGATGCCCTACGTTTGCCACAGTAGTTCTGCATGGAGGTGGGACATTGTCGGCAGTTAATCATTGCTCCCATGGCAAAGGCTTCGCACACCCAGTGCCAAATTCCGGTTCCGCTGATACCGACGGCTAATGCAGATCTGCCAGCTCAAAATGCCACTAGAACCAGCAGTTTCCAATCCAGTCCAAAGACGCGCGTTCCCAATCAGGTTCCGTCTGCTCTCCTGGGAACTGATAGTGTTTCTATCATAGCACGATAGCACGCTAGCTCTCGGTATCGCACTACAAAGATAACAACCATCAGCCCGTCGTAGGGACTATACGTCCTTGTGCTTTCACTATACAGCATTTGATGATGGCCTATTCTTGTGGCCTAACGACGCCGGTCACTGGCTGATCTTACTCGACTCACAGAGGCAAGTGAGCATGTGCTTACTGATGTCGCATGCTCGTAGCGAAATTGAAAACAACCTACCTTGTACCGCTTCTCCAGGATGTGCGTCGAATGCAACGATCAGTACAACGTACCGACTTAACCTATTATGTTCCGAACAAATAACAGAACACGACGCACAGATCTTTTATTCACACAACTACAAATAGCAAATCAAAATAGCGGATTTTTTTGTGATCAAAATTTGCCTGGTGGTAATGAACTTCTGTTCTTTTGAGTGTCCATGGCCGTTAAGGATGCCTCAAAACCATCCGGATAACGTACCACTTCAGATATTCCGACACTGGGTTGGGGGGTCTGCTGCTAAGAGAAGTCAACCCTAAACCCCGTTCTCATCGTGATCTTCATCTTTGATCAGAGAGATCAAAGGCGCAATCTATGAACGCTCAAATCAAACTCAACATCAAAAGTCGTTGCATCATCTTTTCGGGATCTGCACATCTTAGGGAGTCGCAAGTTTATCGTTGATCGGAGTATTTAACGTACAGCGTTCAGAGTTATTTTCACTTACCAAGCTCCGGCTGTAATATCGGCTAGCCAGGGATCGCCACGGTAGTCCAATGATTCGGGTACAACGCTTGCTTCATTTATACAGCCTCTGCTGAAAAACGCCTAAGCTCCATTGTAACGTCAACATTGAAGCCCCCTTATATATTTCCGGTATTCAAGAAGAGAGAAAGGCCAAGGGATACTAATAGGACTGTTGAGATGAGAAATTTCGATGAATTTTTGGAAGTGTCTGTGAAATCGTTTGTTGTTGTGATATATTTGAACCCAAAATAGATAGTGACAACATCGCCGTTCCGTCTTCTAGTTTAGCTGTAAGCATACTTGCTCAAACACAGGTAATACATCAAGAATATTTTATCTCATTTGTATCTGACTTATAATCTTAATGTTAATCTCTCTGACCCTCTGACTCTGACTCTGACTCTAACTTACTTAGCCGAGCGTTATGACCAACCGCAGTGATATATTCCAAAGAGACACTGGTGCACATTATTGTCGTATACTAATTGACTAAGAAGTTATCTAAGTATTGTTATTAGATGGAACATGGTACGTATAGCTGAGCACCAGCGACTGTTGTAACTAAGCAGTGTGTCTATGAGTAATTCCTGTGTGAAAAATTGCATTTTCTACTCGTTCGGTTTACAGATCGATAATGGAAAAACTTTACGATACGGAACATTTCATAATTATTCTATAATATAGACTAAGGCCAGGGTGAGCCTGCGCTTTCGAAAAGTATAATGTGTTTTATTATCGAGACGATTTACCCTAATAATTGATCACAGAAAATACCCGCTAGAAACCTGACACTTAATGCCTGAGGTGATAGTGGCGAAGTCTTTCAACAACGAAGACGTCTGAAAGAGTGGATGGAACACGGTTGATGCTTTTAGCCAGTTGGATAAACAGATTGCGTGCGTGTACACAGCCAATAAAAGCTATTTCTTGACATTTGACAACAAAGGAAAGGCGAAGTGTTCGTTACAACAGGAGGGCAAGCGTCAGTAACAACCGCAATACATCTATTGTCTATCGAGGCAGCGAAATGCACCCCTATTCAGTAGTGGCATGTCCTTCGATCTTCGTTTACTCTAGATCGAACGCGATAATCTGAAGATAAAATTGTATACCCACTATTGTTTGACGTCAACTGTGCTAATTGATATACTTTCTTACGTAGAAACAGCGTTTGCTCTGAATGGCATTGTGTTCTGTTCGCTGGACCGACTTTGTTGTTTTGGCCATTCTACGTAAGGAATTGAAGCTGTTAAGCAGAGGCAGTTTGCTAGCACGAGACAAAGTGTCTACGCTAACCATCGAGAGTCGTTTATTGGACAAACAACACGTTGCAATACGTTCCACACGGTTCTGGCACGGAACATGTGTACATCTTCTAATGATGTTCTAATAATTAGCGCTTATTCTATCTTAGTAATATCGAAATGCTTGATCTGAGCATGCATAAGAGTGATTTCTAACAATCCACTGGAATACAGGAAGCTTAACGGCTGGGCTATGGCCAAATCATGGATAGCGGCCTTAGACTAAACTAACTTTCCTTTACGAATAGTTACAAGATTCGACCGTCCAAATTAATCACTTTATTTAGTCATATGTTCTTGTACCTGCGTGCGTGAGTGCGCGCTTAGATGATCGTCTTGCGGATCTTCACGAAGCTGTCAACATACCCGTGTCGTAGCGCCCCTGATTATCTTTTTAAATAGCTCAGAATCGACAGAATTAAGAAAATACGTGAGGTCGCTTGAAGAGTAAATTGATCCCATAAAACCCGAGAGGGTTAGTAGGCTCTAGATTGAACAGACCCTGATCCTCGAGACCGTTGATGACGCTATTCGATACGACGCACAATCTTATGGCGTTACACTCCGGAAGAATAACTGAAACCTTTCATATGCCTTATGAGTCTTAAAATTTACATGGTTACAATCCGTAGCCTAAAGTAAGCTGCAGAACCGTAGTTATGCAAGAGGTCAGCTGTTAAGTTGCGACGCAGCAGAAGTGACAGTTACGTGTAATTAAATAAAGCTGGACGCTTTTTCGGTGAAATGGCTCAGAGAGCCGCTGACGCAAGCTTGGTTGGCAACTTATATAACCTTTATTATATATTTATATTATATAATATATTAGTGCATTAGCCTCAGTTACCTGCGCAGGCAACCTCTGCAATAGTCTGTATTCTCTATCTCGGGCTCACACGATGCGAAAGCTGACACAACTTCGTAGTTACTTTTCTTGAAAATTCAAACTGCCACGATAAAAGAAGCATCATTAGCGACGATGTCGACAACGGCAGCATCAGGACGAGGCTGAACAGAGCGATCATGAGCGACTATAGGAGCGTCGTGCACGGCCAAGTGTCGATGCAACGAGGTTTGCCGGAGAGGATCTCTCTGCCAATGGCGAACTATTGAATCGTCGTCAAATTATTAGACGCCGCTGCAGCCGTTAGCAGATCATGACCATGACGAGCGAGTTGATGTTGTTACTGCTGATGCTACGGACAAAAATCTGCAAATGGGGACACCGTAGCTTTACAGCTGCTGCTGCTGTTGTTGTTATTGTAATTGGTGTCACTTGATGGCGCCAGTGTATAGTGATGTGGCGCTGGTAGTAGCGATTTTAGTGTTGATAGTACTTTTTGCTGTTTCTTAGTTAATGAGCGGCCGAAAAGCAAGCAAGACTTCGTTAATTTTTTGCTGGTTTCTTATTCTACTATCTATTATAATTTCATTTATAACACTTTGCTATTGTTATCATCTTCTTCTTCTTTTTATCATCGAAGTGTTCAGGTATCTTTAACTTACTCAGCGACGACTTCATTAGCTCATTTGCTATCCATTTCATATTCTGCCTTTTACTTTGTGTTCGACTCTCCTAATCAAATAACTGGCTGCGAGCACAGGGTCAAGCAGGCCAACGTATTCGTTAACAGGTACCTGGACGTCGGCAGGCTTCCAGCAGATTCGCACCGGCAAATCATCTGGAGTCACTCTAGCAACGGGCTGTGACTTCGTATAAGGTCTAACATAACAAGTTTACATCTGGTGGTGCCACTGCCACTGCGACTACTTCAAACGAATCTCATGTCTACTACGAAGATAACGCCAAAGCACCGCTATGATTGTTTGTACCGCTGCAAACGCTTTCGGCCAGATTGGACCATACTGCAGGCCGTCAGTCGGCGAGTATCTGTTGTGCAACTTTTATTGCATCAGTGCGTCGCAGAAATGCTTGTCGTAATAGTACGTTATTATGATTCTGTGTGTCTCTATTGGTATAACAATATTTCATAGCGGTTCCGAGGGCTACCGGTGGAAATAGACTACGAAACGGCAGCTTGTCGTTTTCGTCGTTTCGCTCTTCAGCCGTTGCAGCCGACTCGCTAACCTGTTACCAAGTCGCGTCTCAATTCTATTCACCAGTTGTTGTCTACGGCCCACGCCTTACTATAATTAGCTCGATCGTCATCTGGAACAGGCGGATTGACAAGAAGAGCTAGGCTATGATTGACTGTACCATAGATAAGCTAGTCGGCGGTCCGGCGGATGGCCCCAGTTGAAGGAAGCAGGCGCCAACAGGCATTCGGATCTTCTTGTCGTCA